ACCCAGTTTGTCGGTTCACACTTGACCTTAAGGCGCTTGTGAGTTGCGGTAGATATACGTTCCAGTCGCTCTGACAACCATCAATATAATATTTCACTGCTTCAATTAACGTACGATTATAACGCTCAGCTTGTCCGTTAGATGTCGGGTGATAGGATGTCGTGCGAGTCTTATATATTCCTAACACCTCACACAGAGCAGTAAATATACTATTCAAAAAAAGTAGGGGATATTTGATTTTTAAGTGTTATTAAAGTCACCTAATGAAACTGACGAAGAAACAAATGACAAAATGAAATGAAGTTCACATTCATCGATTTATTCCAAATGATCGTTAGACTAAGTAAGGCACAGACTGACCATTATAAGGGTAAAATGATACCCGGGGTCAAACAGCAAAGTTACCACAGCATCACAACCAAGTCAGTAACGGGTAAATCCTCCTCTGTTTGCCAAACAAGCATTGATCCGACGTGGCATACTCCTAATGAGACGTCTAAGGTCATTTTGGTCCAGATTGTCCCATTCCTGTTGCAACGCAGCAGCAAGTTCTTGGACATTGGCAGGACGTTGTTGACGTTGACGTAACCTCTGTCCAAGCATGTCCCAGACATGCTCGATGGGGGAGAGGTCGGGACTCAGTGCTGGCCAAGGTAATGTGGTGATGTTCTGTTGTTGGAGGTAACCTGTAACGATCCTGGCCCTGTGACATCTTGCGTTGTCATCCTGGAAGATGAAACGGCGGCCATGACGTCGTGCGAACGGCACAACATGGACTGCCAAGATGTTGTCCCGGTAGTACTGGCCTGTAACACGCCCTGCAACAACATGTAAAGCCGTTCTTCCAGCAACAGTGATGCCTCCCCACACCATAACAGAACCACCCCCAAATCGATCATGTCTGATGACGTTAACGTCTTGGAAGCGCTAGTTTCGACGACGCCACACCCTCCTACGTCTGTCCAAAAAATCAACAGTGAACCTTGACTCATCTGAAAACATCACATTGCTCCAGCGTCGATTATCCCAGTGTTGACGATCCCTACACCAACGACGTCTTGCCTGAATGTGATGATCTCTCAAACAAGGGATCACGCGAGGACGTCGGGCGCTAAGGTGACCCCTATGCAGTCGATTCCGAATCGTCTGGCCACTCACTCTCACACCAGTGTCTGTTTGAAGACGAGTGCTGATCTGATTTGCTGTGATGACACGATTTCTCAAGGCCAAGGTATGGATAAATCGATCCTGGGCTTGAGTTGTCGCCCTTGGTCGACCTGAGCGTGGTCTGTCCTGTACAGATTGTGTATCACGGTATCTGGACCATAGCCTGCTTATGACAGACTGAGAAACATTCATCGTCCGCGCCACAACCGCCTGTGTTGTGCCGATCTGTAGCATGCCAAGGGCACGTAACCTTTCATTTTGGGTAAGCCGACGCATATCAAAATTTGTTTTCTGGTCACTAAAACAATTAAACTGATGTTTCCACCCTGGAATTCAATGCCACAATGACTGTAACATTCAAAGTCAGAGTCGTGCAAATCTTGGGTTGGACCCCCATGATGATCCCAAGCATCACCTGCATTCCATGCGGTAGCTATTGGTGCGTTTGGGCGTCACATGTAACTGGAAATGTTTCTTCTGTTAGGTTCTATAGTGACTTTTTTCGTAATCATTTGCATATTTTAGTATTATGCCCCCAAAATCAAATATCCCCTACTTTTTTTTAATAGTATAGTTTGCTCTCAAAATTCCTCCCCTGATCGGTAAAAACCTGAAATGGACAACCAAAACGCGAGACAAACTCGTTAACCGCAGATCGGGCGGTGATTTCAGCGGTTTGCGACGGCAGAGGAATGCATTCAACCCATTTAGTAAATTGGTCAACCATCATTAAAATGTATTCATTTCCCTCTGGCGTAATGGGCAACGGACCTAAGGAATCCACATGTACCCATTCCATGGGTGACCCGGCATGGTGACGGATTAATTTAGCACGACGTTTCGCCTGGGTATTCTTGTTAATGTTGCATATGGCACAAGAGGTAAATACCCTGGTGACCCGACAGCGGTATGTCATGACATAATCGACAAATATCAACTTTTAATTCCTCCGGAACCAACAGCTGTGTCTCTGATAAATTACTCGGTCTTTTAACTCGTATAATTCCCTTATCTAGAACAAGCAGATTTCGATTAATCCAGTAATGTTTTACAGCGGGACTCTGTAACATTAGTTGAGCCTGTTCTGGTTCAAGCCCAGAGGTTAACCAAATCATAATTATCTCTAAATCCTCATCATTTGCCTGCGCAGTTTTAATGAGTTCGGGGGAATAACTACTTAATGAAATACCATCACCGTCTACGTCATCATTTTCAATCTCGTCAGCAGTCACAACATTTACCCGCGGTTCATTTGGATACCCTGTAACAGCCATGCTAACGGGTTCAAAAACAGACTCTTTTTCTAACAATAAATTACGCCTAATACCGGATTTAAACGGTAATGGTATGACGTCATCCACATTTGTAGCAAACTCTATCCAATTTTTATGGGCTCTTTCACAGTATCGACAGCCACCGCACGGTAAATCAGTCAACTGTAAATCGATATTAAAATCATCGCACGGTTTATCCGGCAATTTCATTCAACTTAAGGCATCGGCATTTACGTGCAAACGGGCTTTCCGATGAACTACTGTCATATAATATTGCCCCAATTCCTCCAACCAACGTGCTAATTGTCCGTCGGATGCTTAAACCTTAACAACCAGGTGAAACTAGCGTGATCAGTTCTCGCTATAAAAGGTTTTCCAAGCAAATAATGTCTAAATTGTCGCGTGAAACGTATAATTGCTAAAAGTTCTTGTCGCGTCGTACAATAGTGACGTTGTTCTGGTGTCAAAGAAAAACTACTATATGCAATGACCCGTTCTTTGCCGTCTTGTATTTGTGACAATTCCGCAGAAACAGCGTTCATGCTAGCATCACAATCGAGAATAAATGTACCATGTTCCATAGGCAAAGCCAGTACAGGAGTTGTCACAAGCAAATGTTTAAGTTTATCAAAAGCAAATTGTTGTTTCTCACCCCACATAAATTGTTTTTTACCGGTAATAGAATATCTTGGTGAAGCTATTTCGGCAAATTGTTTTATAAACGTCCTATGATAGTTAGCAAAGCCTAGAAAAGATTTGACGTCCTCTGTGCAATTCGGAACCGTCCATTTTTCTACGGTTTTAGTTAGATTGTTACCCGCTTTGAGACACGTTCTGACTAACCATTCTACCTAAAAATTCAACCTCGTGCTTTAGTACACATTTCTTAGGTTTTAATTTCATACCATACTCTAGCTAATACCAATTTTAGATTGCCCAAATGGTCATCTACATTTTTGCCCATGACCATCGTATCGTCCAAAAAAGCTAATGCTATATCCCAGCTAAGCCCATTAAGTACTAATCCAATGCTCCTGGAATACCCGGAGACAGCTCCCGTTAAGCCGAATGGTAGTTTAGTGAATTCAAATGTAATAAAGGCGGTTTTTTTCCTATCCTCCTGTCTAAGGGGGATTTGCCAATAGGCAGAATTTGCATCAGGTTTTGAGAACCATTTATTGCCAGATAGAGCGTCCATACATTCATCCACCAAGGGTAAGGGGAATACATCTTTAGTGGTAACCGCATTAAGTTTCCGGTAGTCTATGCACCATCGAACCGTACCATCTTTTTTACGTATTAATACCGGTGGTGAAGTCCAAAACAAATAGGGGTACGTCTTAAGCTCTGTTTAATTGGTGGGGCGTCATTTGTTTCAATTACATATTCCATAGCCGTAAAATTCCTTCTTGACTTCTTGATAATCGATTAATAACCGCATAAGTTTTAATTACTCTGGTTCCGTTAATAATTTCTTAGAACGCTCAAATAAATCAACTAAATTCTCAAAACTTGCACAATCTGTCTCAGAGCCATCGTCTTGCAACGGATTAATAATATCTTGTTCCCTAAACTCAATAGCCTTAGCTATTTGTTCGTTCGTGTCAAGTATTACCCTTTCTTCAGACGGGTTTATTAAACAAATACGAGGAAATTCTGTCTCAATATGTGCATGTATTGATCGGGCAATCAACAACTTCGGGTGTTTTAACGGTTCTATCAGATAATGGGATAAATTTTTATTTAAATTACACCGTACCCTAGCTACTGATAATGGTGGAATAACTATCCGTTTATCTACGGAAATATTGGCATTATCGGAGTACCCATCAATATCGCCATAAAATAAATTGAATACATCGTCGCCTATTTTCATTCTATCGTTTAACATATCGATATGCGCGCATAAAATCAAGTCCTAATAACATGTCATCTTCTATTGGAGCGACATACAACTGACTAAGTTTTATTTCGAAAGAACCGATTTTTAAGTTAGCCGGTCCTACAATAAACCCTGGAAAGTCTAATTGGCTTTTCTGATAACTCATCGTATCGACGATCACAAAGTATGGTGACCTGACTACCGGTATCTAAAACGGTCAAAGTTGTCATGTTTTGAACTTTCACGTTAAGCTTATACATCGAATCGGAAGATACCCTACGGATAGACGACGAAGCCAATACGCACGTTTCCTCAATTTGCGCGGAATCGATTGAGTCGATTCTTGGAATGACACCGGTTGCAACGGTATCCAGGAACTTTTGATCACCCCCCCCCCCCCCGGGGTGGTGATATATTGCTCATCACCGACGGTAACGGTGGATTTAGAACCGGTCGAACGATTAACGGTTCCACTTTCGCTTACGCCCGTAGCTTCGCTCGACGTCTCGCTTTCAGAAAATAATATTGGCGATGGTAAATCATAACGGATCAAACGCTCGCCTACTCGCTCGATCCCTTGTAGTTTAAACACTGATTATCATCGCTGACAAAACTCACATGTTTCTGCTCTGCAGTAGTGGGATTTAGAGGCGTACTCTGTCTTGGAGTTAACAAACTTGGGCACTCTCGCTTGAAATGACCCAATTTACCACACTGAAAACACGAGGTTGAGCGCGGTCTAAATCGTGACACACTCAAATTAAGTTTAGAGACATTATCTGTAAGTTCCGCCATTGTTTTTAAAACCGTCTCCATTGTACGGTCGGATTTGACGACCCTATCTTCCAAACTCTGAAGCCGGGAATCTATATTCACGGGCTTGGCTGAATTAATTTTTTTTGCAGTGGCATTGACAGACCTTACCCTCTGAGGTTCATATCCCCTAACTGGGCTGCGCGTATCTCTACGAGAATTTCGTCCGTAAATCGCAATATTATTATGATTGAACCACTTAATAGATTGGATTGCTGCATCCAAGGTTCTTGGGCGCATATTACAGGCGTACTGTCCCGCTTCTTTATCAATACAACCTTGACAAAATCTCAAGATAACTTGACTAGTGACATGTTCGTCGGAACATTCTCTAAAGGCCCGCGAAGCAACCGATAGAACACGGTCTGCCCAATCATTTATATTTTCCCCATTATTCTGACGTAAATTATAAAACTGAGCCATCGCAGATTCAGCTAATTCCTGATTGCCAAATCGTTTTTCCAATTTGCTTAAAAGTTCAAAAAATGACAATTCATTATACCTTTCTGCCATTACACAGTAATAGTCACTGGCCTTTCCTTTAAGACAAAAGCATAATTGATCCTTGCTTTCGGAATCGCCCCATTCCTGTAGCAAAGCGTAACGCGTAAACTTGTTAGAAAATGCCTGCCAACTTGTCATACCATCATAGGATAATGACTTGGGTGGGAATGAAACCCGTCGACGACGGTCATCTAAAGATGAATTTGTATAACTCCGGCCAGACCGGTTAAATTCAGAACGGTTTCCGTAGGAAATCGGGTCGAAGTAGTATTATTACTACTCACCCCCCCCCCTTCGGTTGTTTACCGTCCGCCTCCTCCGTGCACAATGGTAAGAACACAGAGGCAGATAAGCTTAGTACCTCAGGAATCTGTTCCAATTCTTCCCTATCTATATTGCCCATAGCCTCTCGAGTGGCACATATTTTTTCAGCTATCGGACTGACTCCGCTTTCACACAATTGTTCAAATGAACAATTATTTACATTAATTTTATAAGACATATTGTCCCTTTAAATACCTCTAAATCAATTAAATAGAAACTATTAAATAAAACTAATAATTACTTGCTTATTGTCTGGGAATAATCAATTGACGAAATTTCACTCAATATACCACGTGTAATAAGTCGGGGATAGACCGGCTATAGCTGCACGTGCAGTCACTACGCACGTGCGTTATGTAAACAAATTTACGAGAAGGTGTTAATGAGTTGTGTTTGGACCTGCGAGACACGCTCACAAACACAACCCTTCACACTTAGGTTCACAAAACAATAATAAAATAAACAATCTTTTATTTTAACCTATAATTATAAATTAAAATAATTTTAATATTACTTTCCTCTCCCGTTTTCTAACGAAAAAGATTAATTTTTATCCGGTACTACCATTTGTAGTGTCCGAGGGAATATATATATATAATATATGTACCAAGTCCCACTTGGTGTTCTAAGGCGTCCGCATAAACAATAATCAAAGTTTTCCTTTTAAACATCTGTAGCTCAACTGTACCCGCTGGTCGGCGAACCCGTGCTTATAACCAGCGGGTAGTCTCGGTTATCCAGGCGGTCAACCGGAACCGGAAAAACCACAACAGTAGTATTAGCCATATAGGAAACTCAACAAATAATTTTGATTACCTCACTTTGGATTAAGATATTTCACTCACTTTTATTAATAATCTGCAGGGATATTAAATATAATTAACTCAGGAATTTCCCGATACGCATTTCGCCGGAAGTAAACAAACAAAATGGCCGACTTTTGAGAAAATAGTCAAACTTTTAGGGAAGTTTTTACACAAAGTTTAATTCTTGACTTGATTAAGTTGAATTATTTTCTTAGATTACTTTTATAGTTAAGCCCCTATATCTTAGGTTAACCGAGAGTTATTTGTTAATTTTTTGTTGGAAATAAACTTAGGTTACGTAAATCAACAATAATAATATTGTGGCAGAAAAATTAGAGTTTGGTACCGATTTTAAATGGCCTGTTAAATCAGAACCCTTTGATTATAGGGTAGCTTTTCTTGAGGAGGCAGAGGTATTTTTAGAGGATCCACGGTCATGTATGCAACCCCCTTTGTACCCGAGTCAGGATGTGTGAAGTAGGTAATCCCACCCTTACCCCAATACATTTGAAAGGGAGAGGAGGTTTGTAAGACCTGATAATAGATATCAACCAAGGGAAGATTCCTTTAACCCCTCAACTATTCCTCGCTCCTTAGTTTATAACGGGAAATCAGATGGATGTTGGGATACTTTTAGTGATAAGTTTATCCGTTTTGCCCTGTCCCAACCCTGGGGGTCTCATAGCTCTCGGTGTAAGGATTATCTATGTTATTGTTTAACAGATAACGCAGCGGAATACTTTACAAGTATAACTCGGAGATTTCCTCGCATGAATTTTAAATCAACTTTAGAAATGATGCAAAAAGGCTTCGGAGGTCAAACTATTCCGGAGGCTGCTCAAGTTGAGTTTCAGACCGCAACTCAAGGTGTCAATGAGTCGATAAGTGATTGGAGTGATCGTGTACAGCAGTTAGCATTACGAGCTTACTATGGTTTGTCGTCGGATGATTTTATAGCTAGGCAATCTGTTTTGAAATTGGTTTCGGGATGTAATAATCCAGAAGCGGGCAGATTTGTCGCTAACTTAAGATTAATTGATATTGAGGAAGCGTTTGAACGGTTGCAGTGGTTCACTCATGTCAACAGCGTAATTCCGTTAAAATCTAATTCAGATAGGAATAGGGGTAGTGGTTATCCCGGGGGAGATAGAGAGGTAGAATCCCTTAATGTGCCTGAGATTGGAAATTTTCCTCGAACAGATAGACATGATGACTATGATTCGGCTAAGTTTAACTCTCGTCAATCTCGATCCTGTTTCCCTCGACGATTATATAGAGACCCAAGATCCCCTCGGGTTAGTCGTACTTATTACTACCCTGAATCACGATCACCCAGTCCCTCTCAAGTAGGATTTAGGGAGTTGCCTTAAGCAGATATGCAAACAGCAGTGGAATATAGTCCGGTATATCCCCATGTACGTAGAACTCGTCCTTCGCCGGTGCGCAATCAAGTTAAACCTTCCAGTTTAAATGTTAAGGCCACCCCTGAAAAACCTAAAGAGGAGTCTGAAATAGGTCAGATGAAGACGGAAATAACTCAACTTAAAGATATGATAGCCACTTTAATTTTGACTTTAAATAGGAGAAGGTCCTCCCCTTCATCTAATAGGACAAGTGTGACATGTTTCGGATGTGGACAGGTGGGACATTATAAGAGTGAATGTCAGTTGCGACCTCCCGATTCGCGATTACCTCCCTCAGCAATGAAACACTTAAGCTTTAAAGACAGTGATAATTTAAACGATCAAGGGACGAGGCAGTAGCCCTTCCCTCGATCCCTGTTGAACAAGGCCCAAACCTGGAACAAGCACCCCTACCTGAACCTGTAGACAAATGTCATGTTGACATTGCCCCTATATCCAAGGTTGGGAGGAGTGATAGTGTTTCTAATCCCGATGATGAAATTTCTGTTGCTAGATTACCCTCTGTTATTGCATATAGAGTCCCCTTAACAATAGAAAATTTAGTTACTGAGTCATGATCGACTGCAATTCTGAATGAGAAATCTTGGAACTTTGCATATTTATTCCTTCTATTATTAGTCAAAACAAACCCATCACCACAGCTAACTTTCGGGCAATATGTCTTTTCGGGCAGACGGGTAAAGTGAAAAACAAAATTATTATTTCATCTAGTTGTTAAAATAAAGTGCCCGAAGTCTAATAAAACACTAATTTTACTGATACCATGGAGTCACTTTACTTTGTGCAACATTTTTCGTTCATCGATTATTAATTTTGAATGCAGCTGAAGCAGTCTGTTTAGATGGTTGGAATTCAGATCAGAATCTAGTGGGATTTCGGTTACAAAACCGTTTGACAACTTTGGAGTTGCTTAACTGGTGGGCTAGAGAAGCAGAAAAACGCATTTCCGGAGGCTAATTTTTCAAAATTTTCTTCTGGAGGACGAAGCCCCATGGCCCGAGACGATTGAATGGTTGTTGTAATTCAGGTCAGCCACCAATGCTCTCCATGATTTTGTGTAACTCAAGCTGCACGTGCTGTTCACCAGGACCAGCCCTATAAAAGGCACCCCCATACCTGTTTGAATCATCCAAACTACAACGTCAGCAACATGCCACGACTCACGACCGCTCAGAGGAACCGGGCGCTTGGAAGACTCATGCTGGCCACACTGCCCAAGCCGTTGCCAATCACTTACAGGTCAATGTTCGGACCATCTACAGACTTCAGCAACGCTTTCGGGCCACCAACACCACGGATGATCACCCCCAAACTGGTAGACCAAGGGTTACCACAGGGCGACAAGACCGCCATGTTGTGCGATAGCACGTGCAGACTCTCTTCACACAGGCATCTGAGAAAGCACGTTAGACAGTGGGAACACACGGAAGATTCATCAGTACCGATACAGCGCGCCGACGTCTCACCATGGAGAACACCCAGTGCCATAGACCTTACCGTGAACCGATCCTCACACCTCGCCATCGATGTGAAAGTCCACAATTTGCCCAACAATACCAGAACTAGAACTGTTCACAGATGAGAGTCGGTAGGCTATTTAATTGCGTATCAACTGCAAATGGCAGGACCAGAATATGGCGTCGACGTGTCCAGCGCTATTCTGACCAATTTGTCATGGAACGAGGCTCGTGGGGAGGTCCAAGCATAATGGTTTGGGGGTGGTATCGGCCTGAATCAGAGAGTGGGTCCTGTGGTGTTCCAAAATCTTGGTCCAGGGAGAGGAGGCGGCATCACAGCAGTGCGCTACATCGATCAATCTCTCAGATCCCCACGTCATACCATATTTGGCATGTCATCGAAACACACCAGATACTGATGTATAGACTGTGTACAGACTCTAAGCCTTCTCGTAATGTCTTGGAATTAATCACTAATGTGTCAACATACTGTTCACAAAAAATTACTTTGATCCATTTAGTAAGTCGTTTTCTAGAATGATTTGATTAAAGTGCCTCTCTGATTTGAAATCGTACTGACGTTTTTTTTTACTTTTTAGTTTAGAACATGAATGTTAGCATTCTTAACAGTGCTAGTTATACAGGAACATGTTGGATTTCACCGGTCTGTGGGTAGCATTAAGGGTGATGTGCTTTCAAGTTTCATTTAGTTCCTTACAATTACTTTAAATGCAACCATTCTGAAGTTTTTCTGCTTATATACTGGCATTTCATCTCAGACTTTCCAAGAAATAGACAATTATTGGCATTTTGGCCCCGATGTTAAATACGGCGGATAGTAGCATGTGTTAGTATAATGCTTCAAGTTTATGTATCTCAAAATTTCATTGGTCAACCTAACACACAATCAGAAGCAAAGACATGATCAGCTGTTGTGTTGAATTCTATAGACTTGTTTAGAGATATACAATGATTGGAATTAATGTTTTACTACTCTTCATTTTATTATCGAAATTTACACAAAATTCTGCTCTAGGAAAATTAAATCTCATGAATTCTGCTTACTGATGGCGAAATCCCCCTTGAGCCACCGGATTATTGTCAGTTGTCATGTTGCCTTCCCCACCCCATCCACTCAGAAGCTACTAAAGAGTCTATTT